TTCTCCCCATTCTTAAATTATTTTGCCTGCTGCTGTTCACATATACCTGGATGGACATCAGATAGAAACCACTTTCTAATGATGAGGAGTGTTTTGAAATTATCTGAAAGGGGGCAAAACCAAAGGAACAGTCATTTACACGGCTGCTGCTCAGTTGCTTTTAGTGTAATTAAAAATGCAGTCTACAAATCTCTCACCACTTTCACCGTCTTCCATTTTCCGTTTTCCATTTTCCGTTTTCAATTCGCTGCTTACTTTCTTATGCATTTTCCTTTTGGCCCCGCTGCGGTTTGTTGTTGTTAGACGGAACCTTTTGGCCGCCATCCTTTCAGCCTTCAGCATATCCTTGAAGGCTTTAAGACGGCGTCCTGAAAATGATTTAATTCACCGCAGTTCGCAATTAAACGCAAGTCGTGGGTAGCGAGTGCTACACTAATTGCATTTTTTTCACGCCATTTTCTGTTGATAAAGGGATTTGGTTTTCCTCGGTGCCTGCAACTGATTTCGAGGGGGATTGGGGCGCGAAAAGTGGGTGTGGCGCAAACTTAATTAAGCCCCAATGCCAAATGCCTACGGGTGGGGATTCTGTGGACGTGGGTGTTCAACGGTTTTGTGGCCCAGCATCTTTAATAAAACGTGGCCGAGAAGCCAACTTGGCCGCAGGTAATGAAAATCCCGATGACAATTTTTAGTTGCGCCGCCATGAAAACATTTCAATTGCGGTTGCCAAGCGGCGACGGAAGTCGTTGCGCCTGATTGCCAGGAATGGCCAGGATCTGGCAGGATCTGGCAGGACAACAGCTAAAAGCAAAGCGGATAAAGTCAATTCAAGTAAATGTTCACCCACTATGGATTCACTTTACTTCTTCTTGCTTGGACACTGAAGGAAGAGAAGTGTAAACCATATACATTTAATGGTAAAAATTATAACTAGTTTTAAATTTAGCAGTTTTAGAATTTGTTTAAGTGGAAATTTAAAGTTTATGTGTCCTCAATAATGGAACATTTACTAGGAAATAGAAAAAAACATTAAAAATATTTTTAATTTGAAAAATATTTCCTAAAAATTACATAAGTTAAAAATTTTAAACTAGTTAACTGATTTTTAAATGTTTAATCCAAATAACTCAATCGAGTCTGAAGTTATCAAATGTTTTATAAAAAAGAGCTTAAAGGAAATTAAAGAAAATATGGATACGGGTAGTTATCCATGAAAAAATATTTCAACTCCCAAATTTTGTGTTATGTTTGACGTGGTATAACCCTATACGAACTCATTAAATGGTATTTATTCTGTACTTTAAATAGTACTTCTTTCAGTGATATTCATTTAGCCAGTAATTACTATAGGCAATATTGTTGTTTATCCCTGGTTTAAACACTTTCCGTTTTCCAGCTCTAGCTCGTATTTTTCTTTAAAAAAAATCTCTGAGGAAATGCTCGCTGCTGCATTTAATCACTGCGGTTGTGTTGGGGAGAGGGAATATTTAGATAGATTTGGCACTTCCCGCCGCAAGGACACACTCGGCTTCATTAGCTGCACTCGCTGAAGAAATGTGCTGGCAAAGCAGATTGCATGCAATCTCAGCATCTCAGTATATCAGCATCTCGGCATCTCAGCATCTCATCCTGCAGGGCCCAATTTCTCTTTTTTCCCCTCAGGAAGTCTCTGCGTGAGCTTCTGTGTGAGGCTTAAATAAATAATGGTCGTATATATATTGCACTTTGATGCAGTTCAGATCGACTCTCGATGGATGTTATTTTCTCGTTTCCCTTAAAGGCGCTTAATTTTCATTTTGGCTCGGGCATTTTCTGCGGGCTTTCCCCGGCTTCTATTTACCCTTTCTCCCTCCCGCCATTTGGCATAAATGCATTAAAAACAATAAATGTGCAAAGTGGAGCGGCGCTGAAATGCTCGTAAAGTGGAGCAAGCTAGACAAGAAGCCAGCCAGGATGTGCCAGTATGCTTCGCTGGTTACCCCTTTTTCCGGGCAGGGGGTTTTCCAAGGGGGTTTTCCAGGGGGTTTCCCATTTCCCCTACCCCAACCCACCGTCCACCGTCACGGTCATTGCAAATTAATGGCCTTCAAAGTGGTTAAGCAGCAGGAGATGCAGTTCGCTGGACGCTTGCCGTTTGTTGGCCACCAGCTCATCGAGTCCACAAAGGAGTGCCGGCGAATTTTATGAGTTCCCACGGTGAAATAAGAAATTTTGCACAAAATAATATTACCCAAAAAGGGAGGTGGAGGTAGGGAGACCTGCTGCTCCTTTGGCTGCCTTTTTCCGTGTTGCCATTAAGTGCAAAAGGATTTTCATTCTTATGCGCATCCTGTGCATAATACAGCAGCCACTGCACACGCAAAACTCATTGTGTCTGTGAGTGTATCTTCCTGCCAGTGTGTGTTTGTGTGTGTGTGTGGGTTGGCAAGGATATGCCAATTTATTGCACACACGAGTGCTTTAGAGTGCCAGAGCAAGGACTCTCCCCATATATATATATATGTATGTGTGTCTGTCCGTCTCTTTCGCTGGGCCAAAGTTTTTGTGTTCATTTGGCGATTGCGGCTGCTGCATGTCTGGCAGAAATTACTTAATCCTTGTGGTTTTCTGGAGCAGCAAGTGCATTCTGTGACCATTTCCCTCAATCCTGCTTTTCCCTCCCCTTTTAGTCATTTTCATTCCCCCATTAAAGCAATTGTAATTGGCATTTGTTGTTATTTAAGCAAGCTGGCAAAATCATTTATCTGCTCCCCTTTAAAGAGCGACTTTGTCCACATTGTCTGGTAAAAACTTCAACGAAGCTCTGGACTCTGCGCCTTCTTTTCCACAACCATTCCTGGCTTTTCCCTGCCCCTTTCCCGATCCCAATCGCCACTGCTGACTGCCCCGTCTTAGCGCCCTTAAATATTTGCCTGGGCCATTGCCAGGATTCTGTGCTCCTGCAGCTTCGACCGGCGCTTTATTGCCCCCTGAGATGAACTGGATCCTTTGCTCCTGCTTCGTCCTTCATACACAGAAAAATGTAATTGTAAGCTTCCATAATATTGTATTTTAATAAGCCCAGAAGCCTATTAAAAGCCTATTATAACTGAAAACCTGTTCTCCTTATGTAAAGAAATATAATAATGTAGTAAATATTTTTTAAATGTTTCAGTTTATTTCTTTGTTATTAGTTTTTCACATTTTTTTACGTGTACCAGTGCAGTTGCCTGGTCGCAGAGCTCCGATGCTGAATGCTGAAGGGGCCCGTCCGTCCACGTCGCAGATTACAAATAAATTATCGCTTAATAGTCTTTTTACGCTCCTCGTTTGCACAGCGATTCCTGGCCGGCAACTTTGATCCCTTGTTTTTACATGACGTACTTGGGAAAGCCCTGTCCGCGGGGACGTTTTAATAAGGCAATGCACCTTGACGATGTCAGAAATATACTTTTACAATATGTTTGGACTTGTGCTGATTTTTTTAAATGGCGACTAAATTAATGAATAAAGCAGGGATCGTAAATAACAGTTATTTTGTGATTTTTATTTTAAAAAGACTACTGTGATATTTGGTTTTAAACGTCAAAAATAACGTTCTTTTTACTATTGTCCACAAAGTATATGACTTTCAACAAATCTGGAAAGCAAATAAACTGTTATTTGTTCATGTCTATAAAGTGCATAAAAACCAGCTAAATTGTTAATAAAATCTTGTACAAATCTCAGTAGGCCTTTTAAAATAAAAATCACAAATAACTGTTATTTACGGTCCCTGGAATAAAGTATGGATACAATGCCATTCCTATGTAAGCAATTAACTTAAATTAATAATTTATTATCCTAATCTTTAAATAAACTAAAAAGTTTCGATTAATGTTAATATCGTAAAACATATCCAATATAAAGAGTACATTCTAAAACTGCATTAATTTATTTCTTTCGATTGAGCATTAAATCTTTTTAAGGCTGAACCTTGATGTCGAGCATTGTAGGCAAATCTCAAACCGAGGTGGAGGGCTTTAAAAATGCATGAAAATAAAAATAAAGTAATAAAGGAATGCCGGACAGTTGATTATTGACCAGGGCAGAGGGTTTGCTGTCTGTGTTTGTCAGTAAAATAAAATAAACTTAAATGCTTAAGGGTGGAAAATAAATGGACTGAGTCTTGGCTTAAAGAACCTATACCATCAGATGGGAAATGCTTAAGAAAGTGATTTTGACGCTTTAATCTGAAAGAAATATTTCTAATGATACCATATGAAAAGACCAGTAAATAAATAAATACATATGTTGAAGTAGCTTTTAATTTTGTCAATTTAAATAATAAAGAAAAGAATTTATACTTTAACATTTTTTTATACCAGTTTTTACATAAATCTTATAACTTAAGATCAAGCTAATTTTTTTTGAAGTGATTAAAGTTTAGTTGCTTTTAAAAATGGAAACGCAGGGGTAAAATCGTTCAAATATTAAATATATTAACTTACCTTAAATGTTCAAAAAATTTTAGAGATTTGTTTGATTAGTGTGCCCTTGCAATCCATTTCGAAGCGCCAGGGGCCTAACTTTGTTGTGCAGTGTCGGAGGTTTTGAGAAGATGGTGATGATGTTGTGGGCTGGCCTTTGCAATGCCACAAACTTGCGTATGCAAAGGGGGATTGCAATCGAATTCATTGAATTCGATTTAAAAGCGAAATGAAAACGAGACTGACGATTCGATGGAGATGCGTGGGCGGGGGCGGCGGCGTGGAATGCCTCTGTGGGCGTGGCGCACATAGCTGATATGCCCAAAGGCATGCGAGGCATGTGCCTCAAAAGGCAAACGAAAAAGTATACCAAAAAAAAAAACGTAAGTGAAACAATAAAGCGCAATGCGAACCCGAAAAAGGGGGCCCAACAGCATATTTACCGGCACTTTTGCGGTTTACTGAGGGCGGCAAAGAGTTGGGGGCGTGGCTGGAAATGGTCAGCAAACAGAAAAATAAAGCAAGGCGAAGGAAGACATTTGTTTGCTTGCTTGTTTATTGACGATGATTTCATTGTGTTCTTATAATTCGATTGCACACTTAAAGGCTATTTACAGGATTCGCTTTCTTAGGCTTAACTTTATTTCCCTCTCGATTTTTCTCCGTGACGTTTATTACAATTATACATAAATATTACATTGATTTTTGTTTGTAAATTCTCACGTGCATTTCAGTTGCTTAGAGCTACAAAAATTGTTCAAAACAAATATATATATATATCCAAAACGCAATCAAAACCGGAAACAAGGGAAAATTCATCGCGTGGCCGCCATTTTGTAGCGCGCCGACTTCCGTGCGCCATATTGAAATGTCAGCGGTGTGAAGAGTCGCACTGCGGTTATCGTCATCGAAATTGCCACCAGCAGCTGCACTTGTGCGTTTCGAGTGGCATCTGCAACAGAAAAAGGCAGTGGTTGAGATAGAGTGCCGAGTGGAGGAGGAGAATGAAAGGGGAGGGGCGACGGGTCAGAGGTCACACTTTTATTAATTTGCGTTAAAAATTGTCCAAATAGCGAAACCGCGACCGGACTGTCAGTCCGCGTGGAAACGTATTTATTTTTAATTAGCGGCCGCTGACATTGCGGTCAAGTGCATTAAAAGCAATGGTGGCAAAAGACACTTTAAACACTAAATACATTTTCTGCACATTTTCTGGTCATTACGTTTTAATTTGAAATTATTATATTTGGGGAAAACTTTAGTGGAAAGTTTTGAGCTTTATGAGGAATTCAAATCATTTAAAGGAGAGTTTAGGGAGAATATGAATTTAAACTTTTATACAGAGTTAAAAAATTTTTTTCAAAAATAATGAAAACAAATAAATAAAAAATAATTTTAATTCTCTTTGTATAAAAGATTCCTTGTATACGCTTTTTCACGAGTTCCTTAATGACTTACCTGATCTCGAGTTAATCAGCTTCTGGTTCTTCTGATCGATTTCGTCTCTAAAGAGATGGGCGAACATGCTGACTTCGCGCTGAAGATGAGGATATCGATCGATTTCGGCCACACAACGCAACTCAAGGCCAAGACGAGCAGGTGAGATTGTCCGCTTTTGTTGGATTAGCTTTTGCAATTGCAATTGATGGAAACGCGGTTCGTTGGCATAAAAATTCAGTTGGGAAACAATACGACGCATACTGTAGCCATGGGCAACGATTGTGGTCTCAATACTGGGCAGTAGATCCACCAGGGAAACCTAAACAAAAACGTAAGTGTTATTGAAGCTTAGATAGTTGAGGCTAAGACCTACCTTTATCCCATTGATGTACCAGGTGATCCGAGTGAAAAGGCTGGAAAAGTCGGTGCTGCAGTTGACCTGAACGAAGTCATCGAAGCGGTAAGTTGAGTGAAAGCTGCTGATGAGTGGATTGTTCTGCGGGAGTGCTGAAAGACAAAAGCTGTCTTAGAGTACACAATCTTAAAATATAGTTACGATTTTTTTAAATTTTATATAACGATATTTTAAACTTATATTCAGAACATTTGGAAAAATATTTGTATTATAAATTCGTAATTTTAAAGGAGTTCCTAAAATACTCGTATTAATCTACTATTGCAAACATACAAGTCTAACAATCCGTAACATTGCCAAGTTAAGCTACAAGAAACACCAGATTTAGTATCCTTAGAGTGAAGGGAACCCACTTACATATGCGTGAGTGTGAGACAGATGACTTTTTCCCTGGCTGAGTGCATCTCAGCTCTCAGTTACGTCCTTAGCTAATTTTAAACGCACATTACACATGCAAATGGCGCACCTTTTTTGCTCTGCTTTTTATTTTCCAGCTATTCCGCTTCTGTTTGTTTTGCCCAACTTCTTTATTTGCTTTTGATAAATTTTTAAAAATATTTTAGCAACAGTAGCGCCGGAAAAAGTGGCAGCAGAGCAGCAGAACGGCAGAACAGCAGAGCCCGAGGCATGACTGCCCCGCATCTACAAGATATTTATTTTATATCAGCGGAAAAATAGATGATCATAAAACACATGCAGAGAAACATCCTGTGGGGCAAAAGTAAAAGCGAAAATAAGAGGAAGGCGAAACGCACACGCTGCGAGGGAAAATGGAGGGAAAGGAAAGGAGGAGGCACTGGCAATGGCGGAGCTTTTCATTTTAGCGATATCCTTTTTAAGCATAAAGTGCTGCCGTAAATCACAGAGCCGCACACACACACTCACATACACACAGGAGCAGCAGGAAGGGTGCTTCGTGTGTTTGTGTGTGTACGGATGCGAATCACATGCATCTCTTGGCTACATTTTATGAACGCGCACTGTTCCTCTCGCGAGCACATCCTGAATGGCTGGCTGGCTGCCTCGGTTCTTCCCGCCTCACAGCTTATCCTGTGCGTGTGCAGCAGGCACCCACCTCCCACCAGGCACCACCACCCACTGCCGAGGCAGCCACTTTGCCAGCTCGTCATATATGCAAACGGCCCTGCATGCTCCTTGCAGTTTTCTTCCTCCGTTGTTTACTATTAAAATATCACGGAAATTACACATTTTACTCTGTTTATGCTGTGCAGAAGCAAAGGAAACACGATGGGAATACGCGAACGAGAAATACACCTATACACTGGGAAAAAATCTGGAGTCTGGAGATTCCAAGTGTGTTTTAATAAAGACAAAGTGCAAATGGAAACATAAATAATTATATTTCAGGCTAATTTTTAAGAAATTGTATGAAATATAAAAAAAAAACAAAACATAAATCAGAACAAAATTGATAATATACAGAAGAAAGAAAATAAAATATAAACTAAAAAATTTTTGTAAAAGTTGCAAATGTTTTTTTTTTTTACAAAAATTGTATATTTTATAAATGTTATTCTATACAATTACAATATATTTTTCTCAGTGATCTCAGCGTTTTTCTGCATTTGCATCACGCCTCCGCAGATAGTTTTTGAGCACGTGCTTGTTTTGTGGAGTTGCTGTGCAGTTTGGCTTACCCACTGGTCCACTCTCGTTAATTTAAGAGTAACAATTGGAATTGCATTTCATTACTCAAGCACCCTGCTCTTTTTTAAGGCCCTTTCCTACCCACAACTTAACTGAACTCACCTTCGACAGTCATGTTGGCATCGCGTGCAGTTAGCTGAAAGTGGGGGGCATCGCCGGACACTTCGCACCTGTAGACGCCCGACGACTTGACGCCCAATAAATTGAGTTCCACGCGACAGGAGGATTCGTTGCACTCGTTGCCGTCATCGATCAGCTGCACGCCCTCCACCGCGAACGGAATGTAGGTGGGCGGGGTGAGGGGCGAGTATCTGTGAAGATGGGATGATTAATTTGGATACTATATAAAAGTAGCTAAAAATATTCTAAAAATTTTAACAATAAGCAAGTATAGATTTAAAAGTTTTTTTAAATAGTAAACTAAACTCTGAAAAAAAAGGTTGCTTAATTGTTGTAGGCATTTGTATTCCATTTTATGTTTCAGTAATTTAAGGTTGTATTTTATTTGTGTGTCTTCTTACGTTTTATTAGAACTTCCTAAATTTTTTAAAATCTCGAAATACCTTTGAAAGTCTAATCTTTAATTTGTTTCCTTCCGGGCTAAGCAGTTTTTCACTAAAAAATAGCCAAGCTGACAGCACTTTATAGCGGGTGTGGAGATGAGCTGGCAAAGTGGCCGCAAATTGCAAAGGACCTCTTCCTCGCTCATCCCTTTGGAAAGCCAACTGATAATCTACAGATGTGTGTCGTAGGCTTGGGTTAAAAGCTTTCAAAGCCATCAACGCAAACCGGCCAGGAAATGGAGGAATCGTTTCTCTTTTTCGCCACTCGCAGACAAGTGGCTTACATGCACTCAACCTTAACTGATTGCCAATGTGGGTTCGACGTGTGGAAAACCGGGAGCCAGAGTGGTCGAATCGATGCGAAAAGGGGCAAAGTTGAAGACTGAAGGGTGACGGGGCCCTTTAATTTGTTTTGTATTGTGGATTGATGCTCATTAATCCCACAAATGCCTCAAAACATGTAAAAAGCGGAATCCACAACAAAAAGTGTTCAAGTGGAAAACTTGTCCAGCACACAAACACACACACACGCAAGTGGCTTTCCCCATGCTACAAAAACCACATAAATAAAATCCTGGCTAAGGCAAAAAAATCGTTGCCTACTTCTGTGCGCTGCCGTAGTGTTGATAAGTCGCCTTCGAGCGCTACTTGTTAATAGCCATGATAGAAAAAGGGGCGTGGTAGGGGATCCTTGGCCCGATTTCGCATTATTTGCGGCTTAGGCGGTAACTGCGGCAGCAAATCAACAAATTTGATAAGCAATATAAACGGCAACCGCCGCCGTCCGATGCTCGTTACAAGGGGATTTGTTTGGGACAGAAGCAGAATAATGTTTGAGTGTTTTTTGTTCGGTCTCGGTCCCAAAAAAAGGCAAACAAAAATACACATTAAATTAATTTTACCAAAGAAAGAAGAGACACGTTTGTGTGCTGATCCTTAAGCCAAACAATAAATTGAAAACTATAACAGACTGATTTGAAATCAACTTCAAAAATAACAATTCTTAGAGTGCATAAATTTTTTATGTTATATTTAGCCAAATAAAATTCCTAACCAACTAGAGCCAATTAAAAAATATTCTATGATTCATGACACAAGATAGTGTCTTTTGTCAATAAAATAGCATAAATTTAATAAGAAATATATGAAACAAAAGATTTATTTAAGTAATATTTTCAAAGAAATCCTTGAACTTTAAGCCATTGGCAATTAGTTGCCCAAAAACTCAAAGAAAAGAGAAATGTTGCAAGTTATTTGTGAACTTCTGGCGCTCGCTCGCCTTTTTGTTGCACTAGTGTTTGCCTTAATTTGCATTCGGCTGGCAAGTGCAAGTGGAATTGCAATTTGCCTCCAGTTGACTTTTACGTGCTGCTGTCTAATTAAAACTTTCGCTCGCCCCATGGGACTCGCTAACTGTCTCGTTTTTTTTTCCTCCTTTTTTTTTTTGCATTTTTGCCAGCTTTTCTCACAGATTTTCTCTGTGCGGGAGTTCCATACATATGTTGTGTGCTCTGCTCTACTCATTTTTAATTAAGCAAAACGCTCGGCAGGCACTGAAGATTTTCAATTTTCGCATCCCAGTCAAAGGAGCTGACAATAATTAAGTGTCATCTGGCCACTTGTTTCTGGCTAACTTTTGGCCCAATGGCCTTTTAATCACCTTATTTGGCCTGGTCGAAATATGTGCTCTTTTGGGCAATTAATGTTGTTGTGTGCCGTTTTTGGGCCCCGCTGCAAACGATGTGTGCATAAATAATAAATGCCGCTTAACGGCCAACTTGTGTTTGTGTTTCCTTGTGTGTGAGCGAACGTTGAAGGGCTCGAAGCTCACTGTTTGGCCAAACATTTAAATTAATTTGCCAACGCAAATTAATTTATTTAATAATTAATTGAGCAAGAAAGTCGGCCGACAATGAACATATATTTGTGGGTGCGGTGCGTGTGCTTTGCTTTTGCTGGCACAGGAAAACACTCGAGGGGTCAAAGGTCACGGGAACCATGGCCCAGATTCCCATGCATCTGACATCTGCGTGTTGAAATAAATATCATAAATTATGGGCAGGAACAGTCGGCCTCACAGCTATCAGGTCAAGCGATCATATTATGGGTTTATTAAACAAATATTCAATTGTTTTGAGGTTCTCGTTTGACAGACTAAACTGAATTGCTTTCTAGTTATTTTGTAATGGTCCACTTAAAATCGTATTTTCATTAATGAATAAATATTTGTGGGATATATTACATCATTAGATGAGCAGTGGTTTTATCAAATCAAAATTGTGTGGAAACCTTCATATTAATTAATTAATTTAATTAATTGTATATTTTTGTTTTGATTTTTCATAATATCGAATATTGTTTTGTGACTCACTGTATGTACTATAAAACGGTCCATCCATATCCGTACTTACCTAAAAAACTCCTTTCCGCTTTTGTACCACTTAACCGAATTTAACGTGTGACCACTTATGTCATAGCTGCAGGATAATGTCACGTTATCACGAAAATCAACAATTTGTGGCACATTGATGTCAGTCACACGTAGACACTGAATGCGCCGCACAACTGGCAGGGTGGAAATGTTGGGATTTTCCGGGAAAGAGAGAGAGGGGCAGAGAGAGAAGGGGAGAATGTTAGTCCCATGCAGCGAGATGAAAAACGTCAGATAAAATGATGAGAAATGCCATAAAAATGCTGAATAAAAAAGAATAAATACGAAAAACTGGCAACGAAATGAAAATGTTTTGCATTCGTCTGCTTTAAATTGAGGCATTAAACCAGTCCCACAGAATCGCAATTCCCTGTCAGAGATTGTGGGGTTATAAAAAATTATCATTTGATTCTTTTTTGGAAGACAGGGGGAAAAACTGGTTTCCTAACGGACGAATAAGTGCCGAGTAAAAGAACAAGCTTCAAATTGGGCTGATTGATTTTGTTCCTCGATTGTGAAAGTAAAATTTGTAGTTTGTTTTTGTAATTTGGTGAATCAAATTTCATGAAAAGCTTAAAGAAAATGGTTCATTTTTTGCAGAAAGATGTCTATGAAATATATAATACAAATAATTGCTGTTTAAGGTAACATATGTAAATTTATCAGTAAAAATGAATCTCTAAATGTGAAATATAAAATACAAAAATTTATTTTTTAGTAATATTTTTTTAACAATTCATAACTTAGATAAATTATTAATTTTGAAGTGATTTAAAAATGGTTAGTTTTCATGTAACCACTTTTTATCTTGCTTTTGTAAATTATAATGTCTGCATTTCTGCTAAGAATAATTTACATTTTTCCCCTAGCTTTTGCTCCTCTTGATTCATTGTTGCAAATTGAGAAACACTCTTAATCGCTGCTCTGCATTTTAAGCTTATCACAAGTAAAATGAAAATGAAAATGGCACGAGTTAAAGCATTGCAAAAGGAGAAATGCGGGCAAAAGCAACCGACGCACAACTCCTAATTGAATGAACTTGTAGAAATGCTGAGCACTAAAACTCAGACAGAGTTTTGCAGCAGCAACAAAAACACGAACACTAAATGCTGCCGCCAACAACAATAGCAATAACAGCAAGCAACCGCGTGCTGGTTTTTACAATTTGCAGAACGCTTTTAAGTGCAAACAGACAGAGGGAAAAAAGGGAAAATGCCGGAAAAAATGGTTAATATCATTAGCTGCAATGGGTTTCTGTTGTTGTTGTTGGTGCGGTGTTTTTCCAGCTCCTTATATTGCGCTAAATGCCAAAGTTGTTGCCTGGCACGAAAATTTCCATAATCTTGGCCCTGTCAGTTGCTGCAGTTGAAGTTGCAATTGCAACTGGAGCACACTGCCGCATGATAAGCAAGAAATCCGCGAGACGTCGCCAAGTGGAAGCCAACAACTTGTGCATAATTTTCGCAAATCGCATTAGGTAACAGCAGCAGCAGCAACACAAAAAACATGGGCAACAGCAACAGCAGCAGCAGCAACAACGGCACCTGCAGCAACAGTTGCAACTGCAACACTCGTGAATTTAATTTGTCGCAGTTTACAGTTGAAATAACTTGCAAGGATGTCAAAAGTTGCGATTGCCGAAGGCACCGCGAGCAGAGTATTTATTTTTCGGCTCTTTCGAGTTCGTCCTTCGGGGGAAAACTCTTTGAGTTTGAGGGTGCAACATCTGGAAAATGGGAAAACGGCCCAGACAAACTTGTTTAAACTTTCAATAGACAAACAGACAAGCGTGCCTGCCTGATTCTGACTCTGATTCTGATTCCGATTCTGATTCCCATTCTGATTCGGATTCCTATCTTCTGACATGAGTCCTTTGAAGCATGTCAAAGCAGCCGCCGAACAACAAGAGGAGCAACAACAAGGACGACAATGGCAAACACATTTGCAAATGGCAGCGGCAACCGCAGCTTAATGACAGCCGTAGAGGAAAAGTAAATGGAAAACTTCACCTGCGCGACTAAAAAGACAGGACACAACTGTTGTTTGCGGTTGTGTGTGTGTGTGTGTGTGACGATCCTGCTTGCCTGCCTGCTTGTATATGTAAATAATAAAAATAAGTACATCAAATACAGACAAACGAAACTTTTTTGCACGGCAATCAACGCACTTGAGTGAACTTTGCTGCCTAACAACCAAAACCAGGAGAAGAACCACCGGCTCAGACTGAGGATGAAACCGAGTCGACGGAAGACAGCCAAGAAAAGACAGCACATCAATTTGCTGCTGCTTACTGCACTGCACTTAGCAAAAAGGTGTATTAAAATTAAAAAGCAACTTCTTGCACTGCTTGAATTCCATAATATTTCATAATTTTTAAATAAGTGGTCCGATTTGAAAAATTTCGATATGTATAAATAAACACAACAAAATTGCATCTATAATTTTCTGAAATTTTTAAAGATTTGGCTGAAACAAACTTTCGCTTCGTAGGAAGCTTAATAATATGTATGGTTAATTCTATTTTTCTAGAAATTCACTCTAAGCTTTGTATGACATGATAAACATTAAGGAAAATATTATAACATTTTTGCCAAACAATTATTTGGCTTTTATAAATGATTTGTGAACGCCATTTCCATTTCAGTTATTTTAAATATTTGTTTCGGGTTAGATTACACTATGTGTATTTGAAAATAAATTACCCTTTTAAAGCTAAATGAACCAAATAATTTTGGGTTAAATACCGCGATAGTGGAAACCAGAAAATGACCGGGCAAAGCTTGTTTGTGACTAGCGATTTCTAGTGAAAATTTTTTTTAAAACCATACCCATTTGTTCATGATTTTCCCTGAGTGTTTACTTCCCATTTTGGCATTCTGCTTGTCTGGCACAGCTGTTCGGCTGTGGCCCACGAAGCTCCGCAAACAAAGAAGACATCTCAGCCAGCTCTAATGAAAGTCAAGGGCCAAAAGCAGTTCAATAAGCTCTTCTGCTCGGAAGGCTCCGACGGAGACCGCTTTAATGGGGACTCGAGACTCTAGGAGCCGAATAGTTGTGGGGGTAAAATACGAAATGTATTTTTCCTAGATTTTCGTACCGACGACTCTGATCAAATCCGCTTTAAGCATTTGCCGCCGAACGAACGAACGAACGATAAACGCTCGAACAGACAAATCTGCAGTAAACCAAGGGAAAAAGTAAGCAGCCCAAGGAGCCGGAAAAGCGGCAAAATCGAGGGGCCAGGCTACTATAATTTGCATACAAATGCGGGGCCAACGACGACAAGTGGGACATTGGATTCTGGGCGCCAGTTTGGATCTGGATCGAGGTGGGAGTTTGTTTTAGTTTGGCGTTTGGCTCTGGGCTGTGCTGCGGCAAACAAACACAAATAAAGATGCTAATCTCAGCAAAGCGCAGTGGCTTCAGAAAAAAAAACCAAAAAATAAGAAAACAAGAACAGCTAAACGAGCAACACGAGCAGACCAAGTTGGCCAGCAAAAAGCTTCGGCCAAAGAGCATGGTCGAGATTTCTCAGCTGATGCGTGGCTCTGTTGTTTTTTGGCCTCAGCTCTCCTGTTTTTGCCCCAAATCCCATTTGGTATGCAGCTGCAAACGCGTGAAAGTTTAAACTTGATTTGAGAGACTCGCAACTGCAACTTAAGAATTGGCAAGCGGCTTTGTCAGACTCTTGGCCAAAATGACATGTGGATGTCTGTCCCGCACAATTTTCTGGGGGAGGATATTTTGTGTAATTTTTGTGTGCAAACATGGCAGAGACATCGCATCGTTTACACGGCCTTCAGGGAGGGAATGGGATGGTAGGGAAACGCACACTTACTAAAATTGAAGACACTTATAAAATCGGCAATTTGTTTAAATAAACTTTATGGCACTTGGGGATGGAGACTCCTCGAATCCTATTCCACTGCCACTGTTGTAGCCAAATATTTATTTTCGTAGCAGCCAGCCAGTGTTTGCAGTGAATTTTAAGAGCGTCTATAAATTTTAGAGAAGTGCAAATAAAATATAGCGAGCGAGTCTCTCGACTTCATTGCCACAGTTTTTGCACACAGTGGGGTAAATCCTTTAAGGCGTATTCCGGGCCGAGATTGTCGCATTTATGTTTGGTTTATGCAAATGTCCTGCCATCGCAGCCGAGTGTCGTGGCATTTGTCAATGTCTGTGTCTATGTCCTTGTCCTTGCCATTTGAGGGACCTCAAACAATGCATGAACTCGTTACTCGTTAAAGGGGAAACTTCTGCAAACTGTGCACATCGTTTGACATTTTGTTGGCACTCTTTTTTGGGTAATGAATATGCTTTGCATATTGCAAATTTGAATAGCCAAATATCGTTCAATAAATTGGGGGAAATTGTAAACGAGGCAAATTCAATTGAAATTTAATTTTAACGTGGCGCATAACAAAAGAGCAGTGAATAAACTTTGGTAAATTGATATTGTTGGCAGTAAACATATTCATGTTTCAAATAACATTTAGAGATAATAAACTCGTAGTGCTTTTCTTGATTTAATTAAGTTTATTTTTTACTTTTATATAAAGCTTTGTTTACAAATGGAATAGCTATCTATTTTTAGGATAATCTTTCTTTAGCCCCTGACAGGATATGTTTTTCAATTTTCTACGTCAAATATTGCGCATCCGCCGCGTTGCCCGAGCAACAAATCGAAAGAAAAACACGACTTATCTGCGGCAGACACATTAAAGCTAATTGAAATTATTATTTTTATTTCGATGCCAAGTTCGGGCCGTCTCGGTTCATTCCGCCTTTCATTGGGCCATAATTAAAAGTGTATTTAAAAAACAATTTCGGCGGCATAAAATTAACATAAATTGATGCGGTCGAGGTCGGGTCGAGTTGGGTCAGAAGAGAGAGAATATCGCCATTGGCCGGGTCGAAAGGCGGCGACACCCAAACAAACACATTTATTGCTATGCTAATTTCGTGTTCGGGTCACACAGAAGCCAAATGCACAAAAGCGGCGAGCGGAAACGGAAATGCCTAAATGACTATGGTGATAGTGTAAGTGTGTGTGTGAGCGGGAAAGGGAGCCACAAAGTTGCCGACATCGTGGACTTTGTCGTAAAAAAGGTTTGCGGCGGCTTGCCAAAGGATTAAAAGCAAAAGGCAATAAAATGAAAAGTTTCAAATATTTTCATTATTACGGCCGAGGACCTCCCAGCGGACAGGCTCTCTATATCCTGTGGCATCCAGGACTTTGGCTTTAACGTGAACTTACCCAGCAGCATGTGCACGCCCAGCTGCAGCAGCCAGCGGCCAAGGTCCATTGTGGCCAGTCGCCTTTAAAGTCACCAGCTGATTTCGATCCAGCTCCTGCTCCCTGGCCACATGGAACAATATCGCAGGACGCAGGACGCCGAAGGACGAGAAGCGGCAGCAAACTTTGCTCTTTTTGGCCAAACTCAATGGCCGGCCATATTTTCTATTAGTCCAAACTTTCGGGGCCAAAACTTTTTCTGCTCTACGCGCCGCCTCTCATGATTACATCGCCGTCCATCTACATAGATATAGTTTCGATATCGATAAATGCCATTGACAGGTCAGCGGGCCAATGAGCTAGAAAAATAAATGGAGAATCCTTGTTAGCAAACAGAAATCGTTCACATTGCCTTTTTGTTTTAAGGTTATTAAATTTGAAAAGTTTTTTGGCGTCAAAGCACAAAAAACATTCATCGTCGGACATCAGTGCACAGAGAGAAAAGGAATAGTAAGCTATTTATCCAAAAATTATTTCAATAATGGACATTTCACAATAATAATTTTTTATAAAATAAATATATTAATGGACTAATGTAGAAAACGTTTAAAATATTCTTTAATTAAAGAATTTTCCTCGGTGTATTTTCTCCCTCACCCGCACATGTCTGACTTTTGTAAAGTTTCGGTTTGGCTTTTTTATTAAATTTTTCTAGGCTATTTTTTTTCGTTTTCATTCTGTTTGGCCACTGCATTTGTTTATTGTCATTGTCAGCGTTATTTAAACGTTGACAGTTTCAAAAATTCACCCAGCTCCGACAGCAGGAAAGCTAAAACGAAAAAAAAAAAAAATAGAAGCAAAATTCAAAAATATAGCAGACAACTTTGTCTGCCTCGGAAGCCAAAAATTCACATAGCTGGCCGAGGTCCAGGCCAAAATCTCAAAGTCTGGCGAACAGACATCCTGACCTCGGCAGGACGCTTCGGGCTTTGCGGCACAAAGTCCTTTAATGCTCTAATCAAATTGTGGCTTCTTTTTTTCGTGGGCTTCCCCTCGTTAATGTTGTTGTTATTGTTGCTGATGCTGTCCTCATTGTTTTGGTTTCATTGACGCGTTTATTAAAATTACCGTGGCAAAGTTTTTCTGCGGAACGGCACTTTATTTTAAAAAAAAAAAAAAGAAAACAAAAAGCAGACAGAGAGACAGACCTTGGAGGTGTGATGGTTGCTGGCTGCTCAAAATATTCGGTTAATTTGCAGGGAGTCGAGGAATCTGAACGAACAAATTACAATTGTGATTGGACCAGACAGGAGGGCAGAAATGGCCGAAAGGAAGGAAGGAACAACTGCAAAGTGTATCAGTTAAATATTTGATTATTATGGCTAAATTTAAATCAATGCCCAAATAGCACAGCCAAGGATGCTTGTTTTGGGAATAATTTATTTTACAGGCAGGTGAAACGTAATGCTTAATAATTACTGTGAAATGGATATGTCGACTTTATCCTTTATCTAAAGATTTTAGGGAAATTTCAACAATTAAATTGAGTTTTTATCAATTTGCAAATCAGTCCAAAGGTTGTTTTAAAAAATATACAATAATTCTGCGATAAAAACGCTCATTCAAAATTATTATTCAAAGCTTTGTTCTGTTTGCCTTAAGCTGTAATTCGTTATCTTCCATTTTTAGCTGACTAAACAAACCAAATCATTGTCAAAGCAGAAAGCAAAATAGCATTGTTCTGTTCCTGAGACGAGTTTGAATACTTGTTAATTGAATTATTTCTGTGCAATTTATATTGCTGATTGACATGATCTTGCCGAGCAATAAATGCCGGGCAATAAAAATATTTGTACCGAAATGAATGATTTGCAATTCCCCAAGCCAAGAATGCCACTCAAACATGCATACATATGACAGATAACGAAATCAAATCAAGGACTACCAAGGCAAGTGCACAAAAATTCTATTCGCATGCTGGAGACAACAGAAAACAAACATCAAACGAAATGACTTCAATTGATTGTTGCAAAAGCAGGCACAGCCTATGCAATTAGATAAATGTGCTTTGTGCTGACTTGCTGATGAATCACAAGCATTTTTCCCCGAGGCACTTAAGTCTTCGAAATTCTCCTGTCTACCAATTATAATATAAATATCAAATTAATGGCAATATCGGCTCGCACTTGACGTTTTCATTTCCATTTCGAATCCCATTTCCATTCCCATTGACAGTTGCAGTTGTTTGGCATATCAATTTGCTCTCAATTTGTTGTGCATTAACATGGCGTATACGCAACATGTTTCCCATCGACAGGGACAATGTCAAGCACTCACACTTACACATACAGCGGCATAACCCTAAATGGAACACACACACACACGCATGAACACTCGGCGAGAGTGAGAGAGCGATAGTGACTTAAACAGCTCTGCTTGAAGCTGAGTTAATTACTTAATGGCAATGTAATGTATACACATACATAATTAACAAACATTTCATTGACTGGCTTAAATGACACACATGCACACACGTGTGCAGTCCTCTCTTTCCCGCATACATACCCATCTCTTTTACGCCGGATGTCTAAAATCTACACATGACTTTTGAAATATTTATGCGCTTTTCAGCCTGCCAATGCAGTTGCATTTGCTATTTTTCGTTATGTGTCAAAATTTGCATAAATCCATAATTTCACAGGATGTGTGTGTATTCAATTTTACATCATTTTTTTGTTTTTACAATAATTTAAACTTTGAAAATTTTTGGTTTCAGTTCTCGGTGTTTTTGTGTTTTGTTGATGCCGTTAAACAACAACAGCTGAACCGTACCGCTCCGCTCGGCAGCGTTTTCCCTTCGTACCGCTACGCACCAAAGTTGCCGTAAAACTGACTCCGGGCTGCGGATTCCGGATTCGGGATTCCGCCACGGATTCTGAGCAACTCTTTGATGCCATGGATATACTGTCGCAGGACCTCCGACGACGCAGCTTCGTTTTTACTCGGAAAATGCCCAGAGAATTGGTCATTTAAAGAGAATTCCTGAAATAGAGTTCTACTGCGAAAGAGAAGCTATCAGCCGATGTCTTTGGGCGCGGTATATCTCTTGGATTCTCTTTTGCTCCTAAAATGTTCGGGATGCTGCTTCTGTTAGCTTGTGTCTTTGTGGCGACTGTAAAAGTCCTTTAATGTTAAGCTTACAGAGTGGAGACCTTCAATTAACAGTTCTTGAGATCTAACACGAAATGTTAGTTCTAACATAATGTTAACTTTTAAAAGATTATTGAACTGTGTAACAGTAAGTTATCTGAAATATATTTTTTTAAAAATTAAAAAAAATTTTTCTACCTAGGGGAGAGTGGGGGAATTTCGTCAGCATTTTTTCAAAGCTATTTTTTGTCCATCTTGAGACACGTTATCATATTTCTATTTTTATTGTTGGATGCGGTTAGCACCAAGCTTTAAAATGTGACATTCCCCTATTTTTTTAATTAGCTTGGTGATTTATAAAAAAATAAAATGTAAAACCAATATACTGGGGCAATCTCACCACACAGGGGGGTAAAATCACCACACAACTGGGGAAATTTCGTCACCTGAAAACTGTAGGGAGTTTAACGCCTGAAAATATGCTACACTGATCAAGCGTACCATTTTTGTTGACGTCCTATATTTGTTGCTGCTGCTGGTAGTCTGTTCGTTAGCCAGCTCGTCAAATATAAAAATATGTATTTAATATAGGTGCGAATTTACCCTTAGCGTAGGGTGGCGAAATTTCCCCAGACCGTACTTTTTTAGAAATAATTATTTTTCTTGCGAAATTAGGCGCGATGTTAAAAATCACTGACCCAGAAATGCACATTATAGCACTGTGTATTATATAAAAAATCGTGTATCTTATTCCTTTTGAATTGTGGCATACAGAAAAAATTTCGTCGAGAACTAAATGTAGCTTTTGAACTGTTAAAACACATTTAATATTATAGCTTAATTATCTTGGCCTTCTGTGCAAAACAAATGCATTGGTTGTGTCTGGCCGTCTTGAAGGACTAAAACAAAAAAATTATATATTTTTACGACTTATGGATTCCGAGATATTGCAGGTGACGAAATTGCCCCTGTGACGAAATTCCCCCACTCTCCCCTACTATCGAATAAGGGGTATGATAGAGTTTTAGTTTTTAAATGTATTTAAAAGAACAACATTTATTTAATGAACCATAAACCATTTTAAATTGGTTTTATTTAATTTAATTTACTGTTAATATTATTAAGAGAAAAAATAAAAAAATCTTAATCTTAATTTAAATCCTTATCTTTGAAAAATCAAAAAGTATGAATATATTGAAACACTGTACTGAAAAATCAAAATGTATGAATTTATGTTTGTTCTAATCACTCGTGAAATGACTGCCTAGCGTAACTTACTAGACTGTGGCCTCCAAAAAAAAAATTGGGCAAATCCTTCCCTAAGCCCAATTCCCAACTGCTTAGTGCTGCATTAACCCGCGGCCTTGTGCATCGGAGTAGACAATTGAAAACTACATTTACCACCCACCTTTACTCCCGATCCCGGCGATGTGGCGGCCAAATCCTATTAGCCACATGCCAGTCTTTGTCGCTGCTGGCCGCATTTTGGCCGGCAGACATGGCGGAATGCATCCTGCAGCTTAAGCCGCAGCTGCAGTTGCAGGCTCGCTCGAAAAGAAATGGAATTTCGCCGGCAAGCCGCTTAGTTTCTTATCGATTTCATTTGTTGTGCTTGAAAAGGGCTGCCGGCGGAAGGGAGAAGGCGGAAAGGGAGGCGGGGCAGTTGGCGAAACAAATGGGAAATGGCTGCAGTTATCAGTCAGCTGCAGCTGCTGCTCCTGGCAAGGCCAAATCGGGGTTATCTCATCCTGTTCCCGATTCTGCAGCTGAAGCCTCTGCAGCTGTCAGCCAAGCTGATGTTAATGTTGTGCTGTGGTTTGTTGTACTCCTGTCATCCTGATGGAACACACTGCCATTGTTGCAGGCACTGAGAAAAAGTTGAATACTTAGTAACAATCTGTGGGAAATAATAGAAAAATACCATTATTTAAGTGCTCGTTTTTTTATGTTTTACTTTTTTCCCTTTTTAATTGTTAGTCATGATTTATATAAATATTTTTCATTTATTTATAATTACCTTTATACATTATCTACTCATTTCTTTTTAATAAATATTCGTGAAATCTTTTCTCATTTTGAATGATACGAAAATTCAAAAATTTAAGTATGTTGTGTATTTCAATAATTTTCTCATTTTCTCCTTCGGTGCAGTAAGATATGTGCTGTCAAAAAAATACTATGAAAATAACACTTTTTAATGCAATCGAGTTTCCCTTAATGGGTTGCAAGTTGATGGTTGAATTAAATTGTGTTAAAAATAAAATCAACTCAAATCAATTCAAATGAATTTTCCACTCTGGTCGGCTGGCAATAATTAATTTTTGTAAATTTACGTCACAGCCATTGAAAGCTTGTTAAAAATCAATAAAGCTTATGGGCTTAATGAGCTCGCTAGGTGGAGTGGACTGCCAGGCACACGCCGTTCGATCGCATTAAGCTGATTTAATATTCAAGTATTTATCGAATATATTTCGCACACTTTGCGACCAACTTACATCGCCATAAACTGAAAATATTCGAGCATATTTATTTAATTTCAGGCATTATTGTCGCCTGTCCTCTCCTGGGATTTGGGCTAGGTCACGAGGCGAGCTCGTAAACTATGTGGAATTTGGCACAATCCGATTACTCGCTTGCCGCTGCTGGACGGAAATTTTAGCAGCATTATGAAGAGAGTGTTGAATAAAATTTTTGGTCACGCTTTCACCAGTTAGCCACAAATTAGCTGGTTTTTAGGATTTAAGATCACTCTAAAAGATGCCTAAAATTATGCAACCATATATTTTAGATCCCATGCATACTTTTTGGTAATTATTTAAATGATTTTAAACCATGCTTGTGGCATGACAATTTTTTTTTTACCTTGGCATGGTTTTTTTGTTTTTTTTTCGAATATTATTGAACCCATTTAGTATAACGTATTACACCATAGAGACCCTCGGATGTTGCGCACTTAAATGCCTGAAAAATTGATTAAAATGTGGACCGGAAAGTATGCCGATGCAATGGCAAATGTATGACCACAGCGATTTCCCCCCGGTCAAAGGCCATTCTCGTATTTTGCCGTTGTTGTCGCCGGCGAAGTTCTTGCGGTAAAGTTTTTATTTTTGGCCCTTTTTTCGGGCAATAGCTGCATATCCGTAGATGGCACGTGAGCTTCCCGTACCGGGCGCATGACCAAGGGACTAATGGCACTCTCACACACTCGCACACTTGTCACGTGTTTAGACTACAACAAATATGCTAAAAATGTTATGCCAAAAGCCATGCAGGCGATGGCAAAAAGGCAAAAAGGGAGCAGGGCATTTGGATTTTGCATTTTACAGCACCCGAAGGCAGCGCAGCTGCTAAACTTGGCGCCGTTTGTTGCCATTTGCGAAAATGCGCGCGAGTATTTTAAAAATGCATTCCCCCACCTTACGCCAGCCAGCCAGCCCGCCAGCCCGAATGGATCCGTTCCAACCCATTCTAACCATCACGTTCCGGCCAAGTTAAGCAAGCTGAGGCAGGAGTTGCTGTGGCAAAGCTTTTGGCCATATGATACTGAGCGGATAGTGTCACTAAACGTTTTGAGAAAAATATTATTGGGGTATTGCTTATAATAATATTTCATCTTTATGTTTTAGTGAATATTTTCCATAACATTTACTTTTGTTTAGGTTTACTTACCTAAAAGAATGCAGTACAATGTGATCATGATCATTCGAACTTCCTAATGTCAAATATATTGTTGCATACTTTCTAGCACCTTTTAAAATAATTAAATAATTTTCAGCTGCTAAGGCTTTTCCATTTATTACAACCGTGTCATGCAGGCATAAGGATTTGGCTAAGGGTCTGCCTTACGGCTATGTGTGGTGTCATCTCGGTTCCCAGCGGCTTAATGGTGTTGCAGCAGACGTGTCGTGTAGGTGGTCCCAACATGGCCAAGAACTGTCCTCCTTCCACCCGCTGGATGAACTTCAAACATGATCGGGCGAAATTTACATTGACTCAAAGTTTGGTGGCTAAAAGTTCTTGGCTCTTGATTTTTCATGAACTGCCGTCGACGTCGTCTGGCGCTCGGCGGCTCATTATACAGATGGGGAGGAGTTGGTGGAGTGGTTGGGGGTCCTCTTTGGCCACTTGGCAAGACGCTCGCCACATTCCTAGGCAAATACTCGTAAATAAGCAGCCGCTGTGGCAACAATAATGGTACTATTGTCGCTGCGCCCAAAAGTATGCAGCGAAATGCGGAAAGCGAGAAAGGAGCCGCGGCAAGTTTATTAAAAATCTGAGTTTTCCCCGCCTTTCACCCACGGCCCCTGGTGTATTATTATTGTTTTTCTTTTTTGGCCTTTCTTGCGCCTGTTTTATTTCATTCCTGCTGTTTTTTTCCCGTTTGCTCCTTTTTTCTTTGCTTGATGATGTTTTTCGACGTCGGTTTGTTTTTATACCCTGATACTGAGTGTTTTAATTTTTAGTAGAATTTTGTAATATAAAAACATAATGGATAGATACGATAAAATAGAATAGAATAGAATAGAAAAAAGATTTGTACGATAAAAAACTATATAAATAACTGAAATAAATAGGTAGTGCTACTTAAACAAATTTTAAAATATTATACGATCTTAAGATTTTTTTAATGTACAATAGCTCTGATAATTTCAGATTCTTTTACAGTTCGAAATTAATATAAAGAAAAATAAATTTATTGAAAGGGTATTTTCGGGTCGACCGCAAATATATTTTCCATGTTTTTTTTATTTTACTGTACCACTTGGCCAGGCTAGCGCTACATGCACTTGAGTTTCATTTGCTTGTTCTCCAGGACGGCCCCCTTGCACCACCCCTGCCCCCCTCTCGACCTTCCCGCCCCCTCGCAATGTCAGAGAGTGCATTAAAAATTGTAGTGGCCCGAAAAGTTTTATGTACATTGCCAGAAAAGAGGGACCAAGGGGGCAGGGTGAAACAGCGAGCGCCAAAAGAAAACCACAACAAAATGAAGTCGAAATGTTGCTGCCTGCTGTTGTTTCGCCTGTTGTTCTTGTTTTTGCCCTGTTCTGGGCCATTATTATTGCCCATGATGTCGTTGTTGTTGCTCCTGCTGCTACTGCTGCTGCGGTGCAGTTCACTTTGTTAAATTATGTGCAGCATTTGTGGGTACACTTTCTAGACGCGGCGAATCGACTGACCTTTGTCCCCCACGCAAACCAAAACGAACCCTACTCACTCCCCCTTTCTCGCGGTGCATTTCACTGGGGATTCCGCGGGCGGAGAATAAAATTAATTATTATTCGCATAAAAAACTTGGATTCAAGGATGAGTTATGAATACAATTTATAGTGATTACCATTTATGCATATTCAGTAATGGAAAATACTTGAAACAGCGATTACATTTACAAATATTTGTACAATTTTGTAGGTCCAAGGGACCTTAAAAGATAAATGCTTTTGACTTTGAAAGGTTAAATAATATCAAAAAAATATGTACAAAGATTCTCCATTCTCCGAGTCGAAATCCGAATGTCAGCCCTTGGGATCCACATCAAATTTTGATCACCCAACAAATGTGGTGATAAATCGTTTTCGAACAATATCTGAATAGAAACGACTCGATGAGCAAGGAAACCAACGCCAAGCGGCGGACTCGCGGAAACAAGCCCCGTGGTGGAGGCGGAGGAGCACCGGGAAAGTCCTCTCATCCCGAGCAACCAAGGAACAACGCAATAAACTCAGTAAATACCACAAAAAAGACGTCCATCAAGAGCCCAAGCCAGAACTCTTCGAACAAATCCTTGAAGAACAAATCCTCAGGCAGGATTCCCAACAAGACCCTGAAAAATGACAATGGATCGGGAGATGCGGCTTTAGTGCAGGCTCAGTCCCAAGATAAGGCAGCAAGTCAAGTGAAAGGCCAAGATCAGGGTCAAACGGTGAAAGTGGACACCCAGATTTATACTGGCACCTTGGATCGCATTGAACCGCACCGCCATTACGGCGTATTTCTATCGCGAAACCGCTTCGATGCCATCCAACTGCTGACCCGGAACACGAGCTCCAGTTCGGATGATTACGGCGAGCAGCGGATCGTTTCGGATTTCCGTGGAAAACGTTGCGAATTCCGTGCCTGGTCGCCCTTTCAATCCAAACTGGCAGCCGGAATTATGGGTGGTGCAGGCGATTTGCATCTGCGAAGTGGGTCCAAGGTGCTCTACTTGGGCGCCGGTTTTGGGCGATCGGTCTCGCACATCTCGGACATTGTGGGCGAATCCGGAATGGTCTATGCCGTGGAGCAGGGTCCCTGGGCGGGTCGCCAGCTGACGACACTCGCGAACAGTCGTTCGAATATCGCTCCCGTTATCGAAGATGCCACCATGCCTTATAAGTATCGTCTCGAGGTGCCCGCCTGCATTGACATCATCTTCTCCGATCTACCGCAGGCCGATCAGATTCGATCTCTGATGCTAAATGCTAGACATTTCCTAATACCCGGTGGTCATTTTGTGGCCTTCTTCCATGCGGCCAACAGCAGTGGTAATAGTGGGTTGGCCAGTAAGGAAGCCTTTGCCGCGGATAAAGAGCTCTTGAGGGAGCAGCAGTTGGAACCCATCGAACTGGTTCTACTGGAGCCCTTTAAGCCCGGCTACGCCCTTGTTGTGGGCGTGTCCACGCGTAAGGATGTGCCTACTTAAATAGTTTTATATAGTTTGTTTCCTTGTTACTTTGAATTTTGAGTTGAGTCAATAAAAAAATCAAGCCTTTGGGCTGTTAATGGTATAACTAAAGTATAAAGTTATAAAAATACAATTTTTCTTCAATTGAATCAATTTATCTTATCTCTTATTGGCGAATCCTTTCATTATATATATATGGAAAGAGCAATTATTCACAAACGCAATCATTTTTGCAGTTATTTTTATAACCATTGTATAATAACACACTGTGCACAAAATTGAATTAATCTGAAATTATTTATGCCTCAGTGCCGAGTGAGAATATATCAACATATTAATGAAAATAGCTTGCATATCATTAATGAATTAAGTGAAATGCCTTACATACCCATACAAAAGCAAATAAATTCGAATACATATGAATGTGAAGAGCACTCCAACGACTAAATCACTTTGAAATGGGGTTAATCAAATATTTTCATCGCACGACTGCTTTTACAGATTATTTCTGTTGTTAATTAAAAGCAGATATCTGCTAAAGGGTTTAATACTGTAAACATTGCTTAATTAAGTTTTTGAATTAGTATTTTGTGAAATATTAAAAAATTTTAATGATCTTATCTTATTATTTCCTTACGAAACATTTAAACTAGCTGTTTAAACTACTTACAAATTATACACTTATCACCTTAGGATCTTAGCTGCAAAAGTTACCGAATATTACCCCAATAATTTATGGATGAGCCATGCCAAGCATGAGCCTCGCTAATAATCTAATTCAGCATCCATCATATATCACGCATTCAGCCCGCATTTAATTAGAGGGAACAGTTTTAATTTAATTAGGGATTACAACTAATAAAACTTTTTCATTTCGCTGACTCGGCTGGATTGGAGCACAAACACCATTTGTTCAAACAAATGCATGGCAAAATCTTAATTAACCTCGGGGTGCAGAGCATAAACCAGCGCACACCCATCCTCTCTACTATATATATATATGGTATATATATGTACGATGTCTATTACGCGAGGGTCTCGAATGAAAGAAGGCAAGCTGAGCAAATAAAACTATGTGTGTGCGCGCACATATTCATTTTGTATGTTGCGCACTTTATTCCATCTATCCCAAAGACAAAACCAGTCAGTTAACCAGCCCAGCAGACCCAGACACCCCAGTCTATATCTCCTTACATATATCCATATCCCTGTACCCCCAAAGTCCTCGTTCTCGTCTCCTCGTCTTGCTCGTCCGCCATGTGAAGCGAAAATTTCGCTGCTCGGGAATTACATTAAGCGTTGGGCATAATAAATTATTCCGTATGATATGATTCTGGTACATGATAAGCGTTTGTAATTTTAACTGTCAGTTAAATGAGTAAATGGCACAGAGTACCGAGTGGGGAATTCGCAGTGGGGAAGTCATGTTTGGGCGTTTGGGTTTAGGTTCTCCGAAGGGGGAGTACGACGAGCTCGGCATGGCAACGATTTAGAATACTTCATATTTATCTTTTGTTGGAAACTTGAACATTTGTGTGCGTAAATAAAAGTTCAGCGTCAATATTTGCCAACCTACACACTCTCGCATACATAGATACTGTACTAACACATGCACACATGTGTAATTACAGCTCAGCGGTGGGCGGGGTGACAAGTACGTGACTATAATCATCGCGATTTCGCCACTGCCGCCGTTGCCTCATAATCTGCACAAGCGCCACGCCCACCCCCACCTCGCCCATTCAGCTGACCCAAAACTCCCACTCCTACCCCTTGCCCCGCTGCTTTTTCCCCTGCTCAAAAAATCCCCTCCGCTATTTGCTTTGAAATTAAAAAAGTTTCGCACTGAGCTCTGTTAGATTTTTCGCTTCTGCCTCTGCCTTGATTTACATGTTAAATAATTTCGTGCTGCTCTGGCTGCTTCCCGCTCTCCACTGTCGTTCGCCACACTGATAAAAATGGATATAAAACTGAAATAAAGAAAAACATTATAATTACTTTAGATGTTTTATGTCATGTTACATTTCTATAATTTATAAAAATTTTAAAAAAGATACGGAATTTTATAAATATAATTAAAATTTCTTTAAAAATATTGTTTTCTTTGAAAGAATTTAAATATAAATTTATATAATCGGCAACACAATTTGCTGCCATGAAAGTTTGACAATTTAAATTACCAAATAAATGTAATATTTTCTAAGTGCACCCACTTTGCCATCCTGTCACATTGAAAAACTGTTTGAAACGCATAGCACAAAAGTCAAATATGAGCGGGATGGCAGACAGATGGGTGGAAAAGAGAGGAAGTTAGTCAATATGTGCGTTGCCATCCCGAATCGCGCATTTGCCAAATCAACAGTTCATTAAATCACGTAGCTTATAAGGGAAAGCAGCTGGACATGTCCATAAAATCCGAAATAATCCAAACTTAAAGGAATAAGTATTCGATACGAGAAAAGCTTGAATATCAAAAACCATTTACATTAAAATCAATATTCGCCAGTAATTTAAATATTTGCAAGTAACACACTATAGCCTTCTAAAAAACTTGTATTTTAAATAAATTCGATACTAAATGACTTTAAAGCAGTAAAATAAATTAAAGCTTGCTAAATTTTTTGCTCACTTCTTCAGAATGCATTCCAATGTTTGCCATTGTAAGCTAATTGAGTGGAAATAATTGTAAGCTATTTATTTTATTTATTGTTATTAATGCTGCAAAGATTCGAACTGACATGCTGTGCCCTCGAGACGTCCACGTTCGTTAGAATAAATTCGTATTGAAATCAATTAAGCCCCAATACACGATTTCGCAATTAGACTTGCAGTTTTTGTATCGGTAAAATATTTGCTAATTAATTAGATTTATTTATGTGGTTGGCTTCTGGGCACAGAAAAATCTGCTGCAATGCAGCGTGCAACCTAAAAGCTGCACATGAGACTTTCTAAAACAGAATTTGAGAGAGGGTTCCCTCAGCTAAAAATAAAAAACCTCCATTTGAGCAGGGATAAAAAAAGTATAAAGTTCAAACTGCAAAATGGCAACAATGGCAAGTGGAAATGCGAATCGCGCGTGGAAATATTATGCCCCAAAGTCACCGAAATGCGATGCACAAAGCGCTGTCGAGGATTTTGGCCGCTGAAAGCAAATCGCTGAAATCGCTTGGCGTTTTTGGGGGCGTGGCGAATGCAAAACAACTTAAAATGTCATATGAAATTTGTAGCGTTGCTGATTGCGCGTGTTAAACAGTCAAAGCGGGGAATTGGGAATGGATGTGCCAGCCACCGAAAAGGACTCTTTTTCTCTCCAGGACGAACAGCGCGTAAATCCAGTCACGCCCCAAACCCGCACACCAAAAATGGGGGCGGTACTAAAAACAAAAAAAAAAAGGAAATTCGCCAGCCGCAAGCGAAACGTGCAAAAATAAAAAGCGAATGCGAGAAATCACAAATTCCAGCGAAATCTTTAAATCCCACGGATTTATGCATTTTTACGCTGCATTTTCTTTTCCACGGCCATTGCATGTGGGCTGTCCCTGATCTCTTAGGTGCCCCCTTTTCCACACTTGTGCTGTGTTTTTTTTGTTTTCCATCCTGCGAATGCGGGCTAGGACCTGGACTCTGCCGGGCGGCAGGATGCAGGGCGTGGCGTTTATGTGATTTCTATAGTTTGCCAACAGCGCCTCAAGGTGTCACTGCACTGTGCTGCACTCGTATCTCCATCTGTACCCGGCCCTGCCCCTACCACCAACTGGGATGATTTGCCCTAGGGTGGTTCTTAAATTCGGCCATAGCTATTAAGGATTTTTATACATTCATTAAGCTTGTTATTTTAATTATTTTAAAATTTATTTGTTAATTCTTGTAAGTTTTTTTCGTTACTTTGATATAAATAAAATGATTTATTTATTAAATATGTTTAATTTAAATAAGAAAAAAATTTAAATAATTAAGATTCATCTTTGATTTATTTTTTTGATTTAAATTCAGGCTAATTTAGGTTTCTTTGTAAAATTAATTTGAAAAATAAATTAAATTTATAAAAAAAACTATATTATTTTTCTTAATATTGGATGATTTTCTGAAATATTCAAGACCCACTCTAATGTGCTTTCCCCAACAAACAGGACAGCCATCGATGACGCTACTGCGCTTCGTCCTGTTCCCCGCGGCTCTCTGAAATTGCTGGTGCAGTCTGTCTCTGCGCGCTATCAGGACGACGACAGCAGCAGTTCAGCCCTCACCCCATGCATTTTCCACAATTTCCCCTCGATTTTCCCGAGAGCCAACACTTAACGCCACCGAAAAAATGCACACAATCGATTGGCGCTGCCTCCAATGGCGCCCACAATCACCGACAGCAGCAAAAGCAAAAGCAAAGGCAGCAGCAGCAGGAGCAGGAGCAGACGCAGAATCGGAATCGTCGGGAATCAGAACCAGAATCAGAATCAGAAGCTATATAGCAGTGAGGCATTCGTTGGTGCAAACTATCTGGCGCTTTTGTTTTACGATTCCTTTTGCTCCTGATGATCGTTCTCCCTGTCTCCGCTCATGGCCATGGGCATAATCGTGTTACTGTTTGCTGCATTCGATGTTTGTTTGTCTTCGGTGCCTTCGTCCTGGTCGTCCTGGCACTCCAACTCCTACTACTACTCGTACTCCTACTCCTCGCTGTCCTTTGACCTACCACACACGCCACCCACTTTTGCGTTGTCACTGCGATGCTGCAGCAATCTCTGTGTAATATTTTATTTTCAATTCGCATTTAGTGCAGCCGTGGCAGCATCTAGGGGAGCGGGAATAAATTGTATCTGACAATTGGCAATTGGCCTATCCGACCGTTTGATAGTGTCCCAGCACCAGCACCATTCCCAGGCTAAGTCCCCATCCCTTTTTGGATCCCCAATCCCAGTTCTACAGCCAATAACACCTGGAAAAAGTAAGATAAACTCTGAATTTTTACGGTAAAAGGTAAGGAAAAATGTTCTAAAGTTTTAAAGCTTTCAAAAACTTATGAAAAAAAAAAAAAATAAATATAAATGAATAAAAAATGAATA